TGTTTTTGTTTGCGTAGTGACTGCGGCTTGATAGATGGATGACACAACCCCAACACCGGATGTTAGATAGGTCTTCAAAGGAAAGGAAGGGGTATACGAGTAAGAGGATGGAAATCCACTTTGCTTCAGTTTCTGCCATTGATATGTGGGGTTTGGGTTTTTCTCTATAACTTCAGGATTTAAAAAAAAAAAAAAAAAAAAAAAAAAAAAAAAAATATTTGGCGTTAATTTCTAATTGTGATTAATCTCCTCGAACATTTATTCTTACTTCCTTTTGGGTTCTTTGGGTGTTTCCCAATACTCTGTTGCGATTCTTCCCCGAAATTCTCCATTATTTATTTGTGATAATGGCCAACTTATGGTTTAATCTCTGTTGAAATCATATTTTGAGGCCTTAAGATCCCTCAATTCACCATAATAGAATTTAATAGGGCTTCCCCCACTCCCTCGCAGTCATGGCAATCTCTTAATCCAGCACCTCTATAATCTTTCCTGCTCTCTGGTCTGGGATCTTCCCACCGTTCTCACATCGTTAAATGGAATTCCATTCATGATCTCCCATTGATGGGAGCAGCGCGCAGTTAGGGTTTCATTTTGTCAAATGGAAAGTTGGCCAAATGCAAATCGCTGGCCATAAAATATCCATAAATAGTTTAAATTAAATGATCTATCTAGCGTTCGGTCAATCAAGGTACGAGGTTTCTGTTTTTTTTAGGTGGGGATCCGGGGAGCTAAGGCAGCGGGCAGCAAAGCGATCGTAAAAATCTTGGATGATCTTTTAGCCAAGAGGGCAGGGCACGCGGCACGCTTCGGTTTTACGATCGGGGCCAATCAGGGGAATGACGAGCACGCAGCTAACTTGAAAAAAATTATCCCCTGCAGCTAGGCGATCGTAACGAGAGACGCGGTGTCCCACACACGCAGCCTGAAGATCACCGATCTACTACAGATCACAGAAACCAAAAACCCTATAGCCCCGAACCCCGAACCCCAAAAACCAATCAGGCAATCGTATGTTACTAAATTTGGTTACAAATTATGCACAAGACAATGGGGATGCCGACGATCAGGGGTGATCAGATCGAATCAATGATTCAATCGGAGCCGAGTCGTTTGATCTAGGCATTCCGCCTTGATGGATGATCACCTTTAGCAGGAAAGGAGTGTCGAGTCATGGGTATTTGGGTACCGAGCTCGATCACCCATCCTTTGCCCCAGAATGATCCTTCAGAATCTCCCGACAACAAAGAGCCCTAAAAAAAAGAGGGATAAGCCGGGGAACAAAACCGAAAGAAAGAAAGAACGACGCTGAATGGCAGTGATTTCAGATTTCCTGGCTCAAGTGGCCAAGGACGAACTGATCGACACTTGACACACTCGGACTTGATGGACTTGCTAAATCTCGGAGAATAGACCTCCACAGCACAACCTCAAGTGAGTCTCAAGTGCGAAAGAGCCGCGAGTTTTGAGACTTATGAGGTAACCCAAAACAGCAAATTAAATGTCGGGGGTTTGAAGTCAGAGAGGCGGAGACCCGACATTGACATAATGATTCTTGGCTGACTTGGGTTTCGCCGTCCCGGTTCCGGCCAACAGTTTTTGACTGCCATTTGAGCCATCTAATGAGCAACAAACAACAAACAGCCACTCAAACTACAAACTACTCGTAAACACACACGAAAAACACACAACACACACAGAAAATCTCTCGCCCACCCAGGCAAACTTCAGCTTAAAGGCCAGGCCAAAGACAAAAATTCTTAATTGCCGGGCCTTTGGGCGATATATATTTTCTGTCAGACCGTGCAAAAAATTGAAAACAAAAAAAAAACCAAAAATACCCCTCATGATGTAAGCTGCCCAATTTGTCTTCACCTTTCCGTACATCAGGTTGGTCCGGTCCGGTTTGGTTTGGTTTGGTTTGGGTTAAGACTCTCTAGTCGCAAAACCCATCGCCTCTCGCATCTCGGTTCATAATTTCATTTGGCATTCGAGCTGTGATCACATTCGGACATTCGATCGCTTGTCGCCCCCATTTATCATTCCAGCCAAACGGATTTCCACACAGATTTTTGACAAACTTTCGACAGTCCAGCAAAAAAAAAACAAACCTTCGATGACTAAACGCCATTAAATGTAATGAAATTTAAGTACGCACCGCTGGTACCCCTGACCCACTAAATATTATATATACAAGCGCATATCTTATAGATGCGTGTATATGTCGTCGTATCTCATAAATACATTTTTGATTAGGCCCATCATCAGACCGCCCGCATCCAAGTTGATTTCGTTAATAGGCGACAATCGTCGAAGGCATTTAATCGGATCCGCTTGGCTTCCACTCCCCGAAATCACCCCTAACTTCCATATACATATATGTATAATGGGTCTGTGAAACGCCGTGTTAATTTGATAATAATGCCCGCCGTTGAGCAAAAAACTAATCATCATAATGGCGATGATTTCACGCCTGCTTTGCCATCGCTAAAGATCGCAAAAAGCGATGGTAACTCCGCCGTCTGTATGGGGATAGATTATTCTTGGCAGATGTTGAATACATTCAAATGCGGCGGAGTAATTGTACGCTTAATGACCTCAGATTAGGCTTTTAATCGCTCTATAGTTTTTGGGGCATTAAACACCACGATCGTAGATCAGGATTTTCCTAATTGAAGATCACTTAAGTTTGTAATCACTTTGGATCAGTTTGGGACTGAACTCATCTGATCTGATCCAGTGATGAGAATCGGTTTGGCCAATCTCTGCCGAATATCTGGCTGCCAGATCATCACTCGGGATCAATGCGAGATCAAGCTGCGTAATACTTATGAGCCTGCCCATAGTTCAGAGGCATAATCCAAGTGAAACTTCAGCATTTCATTGTCATCATCCATCCAGTGGCAACAGCCAACAGAAACAGCAACGGCGGCGCAGTCAACTTGAATGGTTTCATTTCACCCACAACCCACATGCCAGCGATATGGAGCCGGAGCTCAAAATGGAGACGGAGATGGATTTAAAGCTGGAGACGGAGCCACATCATCCATCAACCGCTGGCGAGAGGGGCTGAGCAATTAATAAACAAATAAAATGGCAACTACAATGCGGGTTCATGACCACAGCCAAGCATCTCATCTCAGCCAGCAGCAAATTGCGTGCGCGAACAACTAAATTTTCGAGGCGCCTGGGAATCACTCTCCTCTGCTCAAGATGCAGATGTACTCCATGCAGATGGATGTCGCGATGGGATAGGACCAACTAAGTTGCGACTCTGTGTGCAATTAATTCAATGAGCAGTGGCGACAATGAGAGACAAAAGATCGCCCCGGGCAAATGCCTCACGATCGGCACGCAACGAGCTGTGAATCAAATAACTCAAGATTTGCGGAGATCAGTAATGCAGATCATAGACCAAAAAAAAACAAAGGGAGAAACATCTTTGAATTTCGGTGAAAAAGATGAAAATCCATTAATAAACAGAGAGCAATATTTCAGGATTAACTGCCTTTAAATATTACGGGTAGGTGGTTAGGTAAAAGGACTTTTTTATCGTTGTTGATCAGAGCAGAGTTCAACCTTTGTTAAAAGATCTGGAGTTTGGATATACTTGAAATATTCAGTACCTGCATTACCCCGAGATCCTATTTCGAAGAGGTCTGAGGATCCCAGCACACCTCTGCCTCATTTCCAATTCACCGCGGGATTCCCCCCGTCTGTCATCTCCGCTATCTGTATTTAATCAACTGCCAACTGATCGATGATCCATTCCATTCCATCCACTTCCCACAATTTGTATGCCAGGCATTTTGTGGCCCTTTGGCGATCACTTGACACACTCTCCCCGCCAGTCGCCTGTCGCCTTTTGCCTGTCGAAAAAATAAGTGAACTGTCCAAAAACTGATCAGAGATGGGGGGCCTGACGTCGGTGCGGTTGTCCATTTTTGGGAACCGAGGAACTAGGAGCGATTGCATACTCATAAATATTGAAATTTTCACGGTGCTGGGGGGTGGGGTGGGTGATATACGTATGACAAACGACGACAAATCGACTTCCGAGCTATCGATCGCTGCCATTTAGCGATCGCGCTGAATAAATGAACTTCGCGCCACGTTTTCCCGATACGTTGTTCTGCGTTAGTTGTTGAATGCCAATTGATGTGTGATAAACGCTAGATAACGAAATCGAAAACGAAATCGAAATTGCAGTCCAAGAAGCGCCGTGTTTTGTGACTCACAGATTCTTTTGGCGGTCTGCCCATTCATAACGAGCGTTTCTTTCGCACATTCAGTTTCCCTGACCTACGACATAATCCGCCGAAAAATGCGCTCATACGAATATATATAATATATATATAAATATGTAGCCGGAGGCGTCGACTTCTTGATCTATGACGAAACTGATCGTATATTTTTATCACGGCCAAGAGATACGCGTTTGATAGAGCCCGGGCATATAGACATATAGCCACATGATTCACAGAACCAAAATGATTAGTGGCGCAGCGCCGTGTCTTTCTAGATCGCGAATGGTCATCGGACATTAAGAGATTATTTTCGCGCCACATTGAGGTTTCTTCTTTTCGAAGAATAAAAATGCTTGAGGGAAGAGTTCCGTTTAATGAATGCAGTCATCCTATATGAGCAGGACTCTTCCCCAATGACTTCACTCATGACTCATTGAGTTGAAAACTTTCCGTGGATTTAATGGAAATATTTGTTTTAAATAACACATATAGTTATAATACATTTATTATACCGACTAAAGAACTCTTGAAATCTTTCAGTCTTTCGAATGCGAGAAAGTTTTTATTTCAGTTAAATAGTTCTGTTAAAAATAAACACAATCTCCTCTGGCAAAATACCATATAAACATATAACCATATAAACTTTGGAATAACAATGCGCGTTTCTATGACTTTTTACGATCATCCCTCCCCCAAAACACATTTCCTCCCAACTATATTTAACACTCCCCCCGCGACCTTTGATGAACTTACCGATCTGGCGTTGATATCTCTCCTCTGTGCGCCGTTTTCTGTTCGGTTTCTTGTTCTTTTCTTTTTTGTTGATTTTCCTCAGCTGGGCCGGAACCTGGCGACAGAAAGAAAGGAAATTGATAATGATATAGGCATATACTATATACTATATAGATGTAGATGGGCTTTTTCAGGTATGGATGGGACAGACAACGTGTGACATCATCGGAGAGACGTAAGTGGAAAACGGTAAATGGAGTTTTATTTGCTTTTTGTCATTGAACGTGAGTGAGCGTTCCACACATCATCATAGAGAACCAGCAAAAGAGATGGCGATAAGTGCTGGTCTAAACAAATAAGTCAATAAATAAAGGCGTTAACTTGGCTCGAATGGCCTACGTAAATATGCGATGAAATGAGCGAAAAGAAACGACTAAAACGCCGATGAATACGAAAACGGAACCGTGCTTGAGGTGGGCTAAAGTCTCGGACCCAATCCCAATCCCAATTCCATTTCCAATCCCAAAACCCCAACCGAAACCAAAACCCAGACCCAGACTCATATTCAGACTCACACAATCGGTGTAGGCTTGTTTCGCAATCGCTCATAGACTTCGGCTACAGAAGTTGGCAATAAGCTAAAAGCTGACAAATGTCTGACAAGCGGAAATGGCAAGAGAGTTGGAAAACACACACCACGTCCACCAAAATAATACACAAAAATTCGCACGCAAGCCGTCCAATAGAAGAAACGCAAGCGTCACCACAGAACAATTGGGTGTGTCCTGTAGTTGGTATTCCCCGGGGATTACGTAACGTTCTGGGTTCTAAAAATACCCTAGATAACACCCTACTTTCTTTAAAACTTACTTTACATATAGCCAATATTAGTTTATACAGTCCTATACTCTATAGAACATATCAAATACTAGTACTACTAAAATTCTCTTAAATAATTGAACATATTTTTTCTTTTACAGAAAATGGAAATGTCTTCACTGGTAAGTCTTCTTTTCTTTTTTCCAATCCTTAAAGCTATATTTTTCGATTTAAAAGATCTAAGATCTCGAATGCATACCTTTTTGTGAGAGAATTATTTCATCATTATTTGCTAAGTTTTGACTTCGAAAAACGATTGAATGAAAACCCAATATTTGGTATTTGACCCAATCTTTATCTTTCTGTGTGTCGACTTGACACCTTCTGTTCGGTTAGGTTTGCTTTGCTTTGGTTTGGCTTGGGTCTGAGTCTGAGTCTGGACCTTGAGCAGACCTTTTCCCGTGAAGGCCGCTCTGCGGGTGAGAGGGTCTGATGGCCAGGTAGGAGTTGGGCAAGGTCAATGCCACACATACCATATATGCAGAGTGCTGTTCTGACCTTTCAGGGAATCTCCTCCTCCTGCCAGCGAGGTTCTGCATTTTGGAGTGCGTGACGAATGCCTGCGCATGCGGTCACCAAGGTCAGCCAGCCAGCCTTCCTCCCACCGATGCGGCATCCAATTACTCATTAGAACAGCTGACGTGACTCAATCTCCTGGCGAATGAAAAACAACAACATTTCGAGAGGCGCCACCGCGTTGGGTGGCCTGCCAAACTATGACTCATGGAAATGTAGGCAAAATTCGCACAGGGAAAATAAATGATATAACCAAAAAACATTCACAAGTTCTTTAATTAAGAGCCAGACGGCTTAGGATGCGCCACAAGTTTGTAGCAAGATTTATGATTCAGATGTTGCATTTATTTAAAGCATGCAGTCCATACAGGATATCATAAATACTCTGACAGTGAAGTGTCCCCCAAGACTATTTTATTTTTGTGTTCCATTTAATCATTTTGGTGTTTCCTATACAAATGCATTTAAGCATTCCTAACTTTAAAACGACTTGTTAATTCTCTGAAATTGACATTTGAAGATCCAAGGCCTTTACTAAAAAGGTTTCCGGAAATATTTCTGCTCACCTATGGCGCCTTGTTAACTATCTCCAACTAAATATGGCCTTTTGGAATTATCGCTCTTTGTTTCTCGATTGGCTAACACGTATCGATGGCAGTTATAAAGTTCTACACTCATAAACTATGGTACCGCTAAGTGGTTATAACTGGATCTGCATGGGCCATTATTATGGCCGTATCCCTGTTCGTATGACATATTTTATGGATATATATCTACTACATATACATATGTGCTTGTGTATAAGGCCGCGTCATTTGTCATTTGTTGGTCTGTAAGTGGAACTTCAGATAAACCCCATAAGCTATGGGACCGAGCTGTCGCAGTTTGTTGTTCATTTATACTATACATTTTTTTTCATTTAAGTATATATCGTATGCATGCTAAAGATCGGGGGTAGTGGGCGAGGTCTAGGGGTACTTGATTGGATACTGGATGGTATGGCATGGTGCTTATTGTTGTTGTTATCAGGGGTGTCGTTGCATGTGGAATAATAGTTGAATGCGCCCCTTATGTTTATGATTTACACCAGCACATTCCGGCACAGATATCTGTGTGTGTATAGTACATATCGTTGGTAGATATGTAGATAAAACGATAAGTTCCAGCCACCCAGCTAAAATAATAATAATAATCATTATTATTTTCAACTGTTTGTTTGTTTGTTTGTTTGTTTTTTGGCTCACTTTTTCCCATTTCAGACAATTGAATTGCTATTTTGGCATTTGATTTCTTTTGTTTCCCCGTTTTTGTTTTTCTCTCTGTTTGCCGATTTGATTTTGATTTTTAAATTTCTGTGTTTTTTGTCTGCGCGACACGCAAATCGATGGTTGCCACCCTAACGGACCAAAAAACAGCAACAATAACACTAAAAAACTACGCTAAATTCTGCGCTTACTTTTTCTGCACGCGACGACGGCATAGGCGGTACCGAAAAATCGGCCAGACAAGGAAGCACGTTATATTATAGCGGTAAGTGTGCTACGAAAAACGACGGCGATGCCAAAAAACCAATGTTTTTATTGTCGCGGACATCACTTAAAACACACACAACACACACACACAGCAGCACACACAATACAAAAAAAGGGAAATAGAATAGGAGGTCGAGAACGGAAACGGAACGGAAGGGAAATCGGGAAGTTTAGCAGCACAGGATGTTTGGAGTGGACGCGAATACCGCGAGAAGGCGACTCCGCGAGACCGCAACTCCGCAACTCGACGGGCTACCATATGACCGAAGACTAACGTGGAGTGGCCCGACTTTTTGCAGCAGAAAACCCAGGGTTGCAACCCAGGGACCGAGAGCCACCCCATCCCGTTTACCGTTAAACAGCTTCCGCGCAAGTCCTTGCCCAACTATTCCGGGAGAGGAGCGAACGGAAGAAGGAGCGGAAAGCACACGCACTACAATAGTTGGACCCCGAAGCACAGTGGGCACAGTGGAACCATGGAGGTGAAACAGCTGCTGCCAGGTGAAGATTACTAAGTAAGGATACCACCTTCTACCAGGAACACCTATGTAAAGTAACCAGTTCGTGGAAGATCTCAATAAAACCAAAATTGGTTGCCAGTGGGAGGTCGATTGGGATCATGCTAATGGGTAACCACTGTGCATTGATTTCGCCGTCTGGGAATTATTGTAATCCATAAGTGCTATCTGTGAGCCAGTGTGCGTGAGTGCGAGGGGGACGAAAGAGGAGGAAGGGGCTGTGGGAAGAGTGGCGCATGCGTTGCGACCGTTAGGCCATGGGAAAACATATGGAGACCCAGCCCAATCGGCACTACTAAAACTTAAGACCCCCAACTTACGACTCGCAACTCTCGACTCATTGTGTGTAAATGTCACCCTTTATCAGTTGTGCATTTTTCTTATCAGTTCGGCAATTGACGGCCTGAGAAATGAAAAACTGGCAGTCACACAATGTGATTTCTCCCTCTCTCCATTTCTCTGGGGGAATCTGAGAGAGAGAGAGAGAGAGAGATTTTTGAGTTCCTTTCAATCCTTTCCCCTCTGTTTGTTGTTCTTGTGGACATCCAACAGGCGTAAACAGCTGTAAATTGTTTGTTGACACACACACATGCAAATTGCACAGATCTGGTTAAATTTTTAGTGGATTAAACAAAATTTTTATTTTTTTAAAGCACTAGTAGTTAAATACGTTATGACTTAACATTTGACACTCATATTAAAAATATTATTCATTACTAGTTAATTCCCTAAAAATTTAACGTTAATTTAGTAAAAATAAACCTTATTTTCAAATTTATAAAATCGTTCACTCAAATGCAACAAATTTAAGACTGAGTCATTTTAATAATAATGTAAATAAATGACTGTGTTAAACTTTCGCTTGCAATCAAATAAGTATTAAAAATAAAAAAAATGTATTATTAAACTTCTGCGTTCTAAAAATAAAGCGATATTAAACCTATTTTCATGCTCTGAATTTAATGTTTCTTACTAAATTACTTTATTTGATTGCCCTCATCTGTGAGCTGATCCTGTCATCGTTTTGCCTTATTGCTTTTAATTAGCAAACCAAAAAATTGGAGGGTAGAGAAGCGATTTGGAGGGGCTTCCGGCGGGGGTGATGGTTAAATTTATGGTGTGCAGCAGATTTTAATGTTATTCATCAGCCGATTTCGCGGAAGCCCGGACGACGAGAAAGCCACCAGTAAGCAGTAACCAAACAAAGCCAAGGGAACTTTGCCATTCTTGTTGACATGACAAGCCGCGTTCTAGGAAATCACCACACGAACTTGGGCACAAAACTGCAACAGAAAGTGCAACAAAAAGTGCCGAAATCAACAAGTGCGTGTGGTTGATAAAAGTGGGTGATATGTACATATACTGGACGGTTCTCTGACCCACTCGATAGGGCATGTGTTCCGAGACATTATTCTTCGCTTTATCAAGCAAAAGAACGACAAGGCAAACACAAATCCACAATCGGACCAAACATGTGTAACGCTCCCATTTGTTTTTATTCCACTGATAAACACAGTGTCTGATTAACTCAACCGTTTGTTAGGCCTCGTCTAAAATATCAGGAAAAATTACTAACTTCCACTATCTAAAGGTCCGTTAAAAATATTTTGTGTTTTTTTTTTTTACAAACCTCTTACGAATTTCCGGCAATCTATCGACTTTTATGCAAATTTCGGTTTTTATTGGGGTATATTATTTTACACGAAAAACATTCGTATCGAATTAGATCAGAATATATTAAATAGTATCAATATTTCGGATATGTTGTTTCAATATGCACAATGCCTTCTCAATTTTGCACTTCACTTTGCGGTTTTTTTTTCGAAAAAGGGTTTTGCTCGCACACAGGGTTTAGAACATAAACAAAAAATCCCCGCGACACGGCCCAAAAACGAATGGGTTGTGAAGAATATATAAATCTTTCATATTAAAAATATATTCTCTAAGAAGAAATCAAATATCATCTCGTGATATCTGTTCCCGGCAATTTAACGCATGTTTTTCGAAATGGAGTTTTAAAAAGATTTTACGGAAACCGAAACACAACCATCAGCGCGCGGTGTCGGTTGAAAAATTTCAAAAAAAATGGGTTGCGCGCTGTTGCTTATATAGACTCTGCCGGCGCCGCTACTTTTCTCTCGCGCCGTCGACGTCGGCGTCACTGTTACGACTCTCTCACAATGTTAAGCCGCTGTTTGGTAAAATAACAATAAAGAGCTCGGTATTAATATAATATTTTAAAATCTTAACGATGGAAACTGTTTGGCCTTTGAGAACAGATTAGATTACTAACAAGGCAAGTTTTTATTAAATGTCAATATCTTTGTTTTAAGAATGCAGTTCACTTCTTATTACATATAATAAAAAAATTTTAATTTTGTTTTACGGTTCTGAGGTGTAAGATAACAAACGGCTTAGGAATAGAACCTTAAGTATATTAGACAAAAATCAATGTGGTTTTCAAGTATCAATTCTAATACCTAAATATTTAATTTTTTTATTTGAATTTGTTTTGGGCGACAAAATTCGTCAACAGAAGTTTTACACCAAGCGAGTTTTGTTTACTCTCACAATCTCGAAATTGGCCACAGTAACAGCGACAAGGGTGTTGGAAAAATTAACAAGAGGGGCCTAACATTTATATTTCTGTATAGCGGGCGGCAATCGGCCCCCTTTTTGGTAAGCCCCTGGGCTGATTCGCTCAAATGTCTCTCTGAGATAACAGCCGCATTAACAGTTGCTTTTGAGTGCTTTCTGTCAAAGTCTCTTTGCTTCAAAACACATTTCCAGCATTCCAAGAGACAAATAGTTCCGCTACATGGCGCCAAATTTAAAATTTACTTTTTTATTTATTTTGTTTTGAAATCAAAATATGTGAAATTTTTCAGTATTCATATTTATTGTACCTCGACATAACATTCTTTTCAAACAAAAGGCAAATAATACTTAAACTACACTTCATAATTTAGTAACAAACTTGATTGCTTATTAGAACAATTGACATAAATAAAAACGTAAGAGATCTTCGACTTAAGTGGCCCTACTCAATGACCATCATAATTGATATCCGTATCAACATCGTGCCAAACAGCTCCATCGCCGTCGCCATCTTGACCTGACCTGGCTGCCGGTGATGAGGATTCAAGGAGTGGCAGCTAATAGGGAAAATGGTGAGATGACCAAGAAACATTTTAAGATGACACATAGTTAGGGAACAGATTAGTTATGGAATAAGGCCTATATTTGAATTTTAGAACACAAATATTTAAGGCCAAGTCAGGTGGTAGTCTCAGCTAAGAGTATTACCGTGCAGCACCAGCGAGTTGACCTCGTTGCCATCAGCTTTCAGCTCGAGAAGCTCCTCGATCACCTGGAGGGCCATGGGACACTCGCGGACGACCTCTATGTAGGCAAACAGGGCTGCCGCCTTGTTGGCGCACCCCGATCCATTGCCATTGCCTGGATGCTGCAGTCTGGCCAGCATCAGGTTGACCCTCGGCGTACGCAACTTGACCGGAATCTGCAGCAAGGTGGCTGTGGCCATTCCGGGGTTACCGATTTAACGATAACACTCGGCCCCTCCGCGACGCACTTCGATGTCCCCAAACTCCGGATAGGCGCTCTCGATGGCCAACAAACAGGCGTTTTTGTGGCGCACCATCAATTTTCGCTGGTGGATCAGGTTCTTAAGTGTCGCAGCGAGGCTCGAAATTGGCGTTGTTTGTACTCGGATATGCTAAGGTACAGCTGCACCTGGTACTCCATCTCCAGAGTGGCTACATTGCGATCATTCTTCATCGCCGTCCTTAGCAATTTGGCCTGAAACAATAACATTTCAATAACATACTTCGGAAGTTGTCCTCTAATGTTTGGTTATTACCAATGGAATCACGGACTCGTAGCGTTTGTGATCGTAAAGCTTCTTAACATTCTCGAAAAGCGTGTTCTCCATCTTGTCCTCGCGCTTAAAGTATCACAACTACGCAAGATGGAGGATCGAGTTCCAGATTTAAGCCCAGTTTCGTTCAGTTTACAGTTCATCTGGGTCGAAAGGTTTACCAGATGTTTTTCAATATCGATACCGCGATATCGATTCCAAAAAGTGGGATTAAAAGAGGATTATGATGGTAAAAAATTATCAGATCAGTTATTAAACAGAACCACAGTTTATTTTGCAGGTATTTTATTTTGAGATTTATGACGTCGCTCTTAAACTAAATCGCTAAGTAATGCCGAAAGAGAGTTTGCAACTACATTGTTGTTTATAAGTATCGCTCTAGGTAGCCAATGTTAGTGGTATAAATTGTCTTTATTCATAGGCATTTATTTAATTATATTCATGTATTATAATAACCTTTTCGTTTTATTTTTTAACTGGAAGCTGTAATTTTCAAACCGAGGTATTTACAACGCTTTTTCCCCACCGCCAATGCTCTCCAGTTGTTTTGTTTAAGTTTAGGGTCTGCAGAAATACTTTTGATGCGTGTTCCATGTGTACATACGTGTCAGAAATATATATATTATATCGTTTTGGGTAGGCTTAGACTATACAATACATTTACTCCTATCGCTCTATACAAAATCATTCTTCTGCTAATCCTGTGCTCTAAACACTTTAACAACAAACGCGATTATGCTGCGGAAAATGAACAAAAAAATGAGTACAATATTCGCTACATTTCCAAAAACAAAACAAAAGCTAATTTCATCCTCTGGAGTTCGAGTTTCACGAAAAAAAAATATAAGAAATACAAAATAAAATTATTAGTAAAATAGTCAACGTTTGTACAGGGGCCAAAACGTGGGGGAATACATTAACTAAAATTTAGCTCAACGCCGTCCCGTTCAGCCGGGCAACCGAAATTTTAACAATACTTCTACATCTTAGATCTTAGCCTAGGTGAAAACTGACTGAAAGAAAAGGACTAAGGACTGGGAGTCCGCGAAAACCTCTTCGGGGAACTAAGGGTACTGGACGTATTCGATGAAGGCTGGAACACACAATGGAACCCAGCGGAACACTTGCTGAACTGGCCCACCCACATGTTGCGCGGGGCTTATTCGATGGAAATGACACAAAAAAGAACATTAAACAAAACGTGAATGAACCTAGGCTATTAACTACACTTGGACATTTTGCACAACACGTAGATCCTGATGCTTTCCTTCCTTCTTCTTCTTCTGATCGAGAGGCGCGGCTAACTTATGCGAATATCTTATCTTAAGACAAACTGCAGATGTTGCCTCTGCCTTCGTTACAGTTTGCCCTCCAGTTTGTGCCATCCGATACGGGGGGCGTGGGTGCGATTGCGATTGCTTCTTCCGCCACTACTTCCTCCTCCTCCACTGCCACTTCCGCCTCCGCTCCCACTCCCACTCCCAAGGCCCCATCTCAGTTCGAACTGGACTCCGTGCCCGTCGGCTCTGCCGAACTGGTGGTTGGGCACTTCTTGCAGAGGCACATGCTGAAGAACTTCGTCTTGACATCGTCGATGGTGTAGTCCTCCTCGATAGCGGGATACCTGGACTTCTGCAAGGGATAAGGACAAACGATTGAATATTGTAAAAGTATTGGTTGATTTGTAGGCTATCGACACAAACATTTTGAGTGATATTTTGACCGCGCAGCATCTGCCAGCTCTCCAGTGTGTGCGCGTACTTTAAATACTTCTCAAAGTCGTGCAACGTTTCGTAGACGTGGCACAGACCCAGGTAATCGTATTCCAGGCCAGAGTACGAGTGTCCAAATAGACGCAGGCCTGTAATAATAATACAGAGAATACGAAAACGAATTTAATTTTCGAGAAAGGAATCATCTTATGTTAGACTTACTAATATCAATGCTGCGCAGGTAGAGCTTCTCGGCTTCGCGGTACTTCTTCATTTGGTAATTGTACAGCGAGGCCAAGTGGCCAATGGACAGGCCCACCTCGTAGTCGAATGCCCCCAGCAGATCGGTCTTGATTTTGATAGCTTTTTGGTGCATTCGTTCCGCCTCTTCGAAGCGGTTCATTGTTTGGTATAGACGCCCCAGATTTCCATAGTGCTTTGCCGTCTGCACGTTCACCTCGCCGAAAACTTCGAGGGAGAGGAACAGGGCAAAGTTGTGCAGCTCCTCGGACTGCAGCAGCAGATCCTCCTCGTCCATGCCATCGGCCATCTTGTCCAGCGCAATCTCCTCGAGCAGCAGCGCCTTGACGCGCTTCGCCGACGCCAACATCAGGTGATTGCTGGGCACCAGATTCTTCATTATGTTCACCGCCTTGTCCACGTGATCCTGGGCACAGCTGAAGTCGCCCGTACTGTACTCGTGGACGTAGTAGGCGTAGGATAGATCCTCGTGGGCGATGGCCACGTGAAAGTTCATGTTGCCGAAGATGCCGCGGCGCACGGCCAGCGCCTCCTTGTACACGTTGACCGACTGGAAAACAGAATCCACGTTCAGTAGGAAAAATCCGTAGTCCAGTAAGGCATCGCCATACTTTTGGTGCTTAACTCCAAAGTATTCGCTGTGGGCCAGAAGATTAGATTGAAAATTAAAATCAGTTGAATAGTAACTTACAAACTTAATAGCTTATATGTACACATTTATTGTTGCCTGCACTTGACTGTTTCGATTTCTTGATAGATTAATAAGCGAAAAGAGGGAGAAGAGGAAGAGGACCAATAGATGCGAGATCCATGGACCGCTGTTCTTACCGAGCGCGTCGCACTGCCTGGCAGATGAGCAGATTGGCCCGGGCAAAGTCCCGCTTGACGACACAGGCCTTGGCCGCCTGCCGGAGTACATCGACGGTGACTCTGTCGGGGATTAACGGGGGAATATATCAATCAGTGAGCACAATCGGTCTAGAGGGAGACAGACAGGGAAGGGCGAACTGAACAACTCACCGCGGTGTCGCACATTTCTTCAGAAATCGAATGGCTAGGCTGCTCCACATGTGGCTCAGGTTGTACTCGTTGCGGGCAAAGTACATGGCCGAAATCTGGGTGTAGGCCATGGCCACCAGCTGGGGGGGCACGCGGCTACTGAGCGATCTGTTCAGGCCGATCAGTTCGTTGTAGGTGCGCTGCGCCAGCTTGAAGTTGCAGTGCGCCGATTCTGCAGATAAGAGGCTTGCCAAAGAAGATGACTGATTAGTTTCGATGATAATGGGGAATGGAAACCTTTAAAAGATTTCTAAATTTAGTAGGTATGCCTAACTTACCGTTGCAAGCAGTCGAGACGCATCTCCAGCCAGTGTTTGTGGGGCGGCAGGGTCTTCAGTCTTGCATTGAGGCACGCCAGCACGGTAATGCTCTCCTGCATCCATCCGGCCTCCGAGAGAAACGAACCGAGGCGGAGGCCCAAGTCGATGACCTGCATCTCCCCGGCGGGCAGCTCCTCGAGGGCAGCATTATTGATCACACTGAGTTCCGCCTGGGATTGGGCTTCTAAGGCTTTGGCGTCCGCTTGTATGGTGATGAATTTGGTAAGAAATTCGCTACAGCCAGCAGCTCGCTCCTCCGTGCCGTCCTCCGGTTCCCCGTCGTAAATCTGCAGTTGGTCGAGCACCGTAGACGTTTCTGGCGGCGATCCCTTATCACATTTCACATCCGCCACCACCAAAGGCTGCTCGTTCAGTTCCTCCTCCACCTCTGCCGAGGCGATTCCATAGCGGGAAACAAAGTTCTCGCTGAGCCGACTGGCCAGCATATTTTGGCTGGCCATGAGTGAGGCCATTATGCGCAGCAACTTGCTGCGGGCAGCCGAGTAGCGAACAAGTCGCGAGAACACCTCCAGCTGGGCGAGCTCCTCCAGCAGCGTGTCCTTCAAGGACTCCTGCTGCGACATCTGCGGACGGATGGAGATTATTAAACTGGGTGTTAAACTGAGAGCAAATAGCTGTTATGGATTTGATCATCAGCGGGGAAGGCGTCCTAAACAAGACGTTTACTGATTTCATTATAATTTCCTTCATATGTGCCTTTAACAACCTTAAACAAGAAAGGAAGCTAGCTTCGGCAAGCCGAAGCTTATATACCCTTGCAGTCATCAAATATGTCGAACAAAACACATAAAGGCTAGACAACATTGAAGCTAAGACGATTTTTCTATTCATTTCCCATATTTTTGACTATAGATCATATGGGAGCTATACGATATAGTTGTCCGATTTTGATCAAATTTAACTCGTAATTCAAGAGTCGTAAGAACACTCTATATTCCAAAAATCATACTTTTCTGATGAAAAACAACGATGTTATCAATTTATTTCCATTAATTCTATATATAATTTTCGATCTCTCCTATGGCAGCTATATGATAGAGTTATCCGATTTTGATCAAATTTAATCCGAAATTCAATAACAGTTAGAAAACGCCATCTTGAAGAATTCAAGTCGATCTGATGAAAAACAACAGAGTGAGAATTTTTTATTTCATTCTCTTGTATTGGAGCTATCCGATATAGTCGGCCGATCCGGCTCGTTCCGACTTATATACTGCGTGCAACAACTACACAACTTTTGGGAAAGTTTCAGCACGATAGCTTTAAAACTGAGAGACTAGTTTGCGCGGAAACGGACAGACGGACAGACGGACAGACGGACAGACGTACATACATATTTCGATTCTGCTCGTGATGCTGATCAAGAATATATATACTTTATGGGGTCTGAGGTGTCTCCTTCACTGCGTTGCAAACTTCTGACTGAAATTATAATACCCTTTTGCTCTGCAAGGGTATAAAAACATAGGTTTATGATAGGTTTCTGCCACTTGGATGATTATGAATTAGAATATCGACTAGCCTAGGTCCAAAATAAGCCTTACTACTCAACTAGCAAATAAATGGCGCACAAGAAGTAAAGTAAACAAGAAGAGAAGACACGTCCAATCAGCGAACAATGGAATTTGCTTAGCCATTATCAGCAAGTTCAATGGCTCTTTCCCAGCAGCTGCGCCATATAGGCAAGGTCTATGCATCACTGCATCCACTGCATCCCGCAGCATCCCAGAATGAGAATTTCCGAACAGGACAATCAAAGGGCGCTGGACCCATCCAACTGGTTGGTTTATTTTTAGAACCCCGTTTCCCCCATTGTCTCGCTTTTGTTTATAATTTACACTGTAATTGCCACTTATTATGACAGTTCATCTGTGGAATCGAACCTTTGGCTGACCAACTTCACTCGCAACCACCTGTGGGTCTGCGAAGCTGCCGTCTCCGATTTCCTTCGTCCAAATGAAACTAATCTGAAGGTATGCGCACCCCGAGCAGAATGCTTATTAAATGTCTATTTCGGGGTTAGGTAACTGAATTAAATTCGATTGATGGACTGCAGGAATTGTCAAATGTATATGAAAGTTACTGAATTACTTACAGTTTAGTTTATAGCATTTATCGGGAAAAAAAGCCCTATTCAAATTATTAGAGATTTTACGAGTGCAATCTACAGTCTTTCCTGCCTGCTTCCGCGAAGGTCTTTCGTTCTGGGGTTAATGGGCGGGAATGGCGGGGGTGTAAACAATTTAAGCGGAAAAGCAAACAAAAACAGACAAGTGCCATACCCCCCTCAATCCCTGATAATGGATAATGAGTATGAGAGAATGGTAATTGCCAGTGGCGAAATGTGGATGGGGAGTTGAGATAAGAAAGGCGCTCCAACAAGTGCTGTAATCGTTATGATCACTGATGGAAAGGGTAAAAGTATTTAATCCTACAAGGACAGGCAAAGGAGCTACAATCTATCACACCATAAACAAAATATTCCAAATTCCAAGAATCTCTATTCCAAAGTAATGCATAATTCTTAGAGTCAGAACCATTCTAGGGATTCTTTTCCGAATAATAATTTCAAAAATCTGTTTCCCAGAGAAAAAATAATTTTATGTTTAAAAGACATAATACATTCCGTACAAATGGTGAGTGATCGTGGGAAAAGTAAAAGCATTGGCAACATAGAAAAAGCTTCTAGAATATCAAGCCAGCTGGTTTATCAAGCACCCGGGTATTTCCCCTTACTGCAAACGATTACTGGTTATGATAATGGGATCATTTGGGGAATAGTATGATACAACGGGAGAGCACTCACCATTTCGTAGACATCGATGAGCAGGTTGCGCGGCAGTTCCGCCAGTCTGTTGATCCTGTCCAGCGCCGGAACCTTGGTGTTCATACTCCCGATTAGGGCCTCTAGCGATATGTTATAGAGGGATTTCGGGGTGTTCGTATTTGGACTTGAGTTAAGAGCCGCGAGTTGTTGAAGAGCCATCTTGCTCTGGTGTTTGTTTGTTTTCAACTCTTAAGCTATTTAGTTGACGATGTTTACCGTTGGGGGGCGGGGAATCGCGGGAGGCGTGGCACTCTGCAACAAGTTTGGATTTGATCGGAATTCGTAAGAAATGCATTCGCACACGTGCCGCTCATTCAAAAGGAAAAGGCGAAACAAAGAAAAACAAAACAAATGCGACAGCAAAGAGACGCTGAAGAGATCTGGTTTTTTCGAGTGTGTTTTGCACTTCACTTCACTTTCTTTTGAGGCGTTCTTCGGTTTTCTGTTTTCGGTTTTCCTTTCTCTGCCAGCGTCGCTGCTCGCGTACTGTTTTTGCTTTTGCTTTCCGCTGCTCGCTTTGTCGTTGCCTTTGCTTTTGCCTTTTGCTTTCGTTTTAATCTTGGTATTTCCTGTGGCACTTACACAATTTCGAATACATCTAATTATCGGGGGTCGTCAGCTAAAGTCGAAATCTTCGTCCACGGTTGATGCGTTGGGGATTGTATTTTGTTCCTGCAGCCCTCTGGCACTTTTTCTTTATTTTCTTGTGTCGATTTTATGATGAAACTAGTGGTGGGACAGCCAGCAAGAAGGTCTTATCGATACCCACCACTGGCACTACACTTCGCGACGATAACATTGTGTAGTGTGACCGTGCTCGTCCATCCACTTAATTAGCTTTTTTAAATTAAATTCGTGAGGCAGATTTAAAATAACAGTATGATTAAAACTAGAAGATACTTGACAAGATAAAAACATTGATAAATTGAATCCGATGATAAAAATATTTTCTGTTTTAAATAAAAACCGATTTAAATTTTATAAGCATCAACATTAGTTTGGTTGGTAGAATAGGTTTGGATGTTTAATGTGTTAATATTTTAATTTGTTATATCTTGATCTTATTGCGGCGAAATCATGTAAGTTTGGAAGTTGTCGCTGGAAAATCGTCCTTGGGATAACGTCCTTGCCGGTTGCCGCCCTTCCATTAAAAGAGATCAATAGAGTCGTCCTCGATCTCTACCAAGGCAAAGTCGGAGGTGCTGCCGAACATCCACCAGTGGCGCAGGATATTCCGGATGAGAAGGCACCGCGTGGTGACGAACTCAAAGAAATGGAAGAACAACGCGCTGGAGGTTAAAAGGGCACAGGAGGCAACGAATACCTCCTGGACGGTAAGCTGCTCGGTGCTGCCCTGATTGAGATTATCCATGCACTGCAGTACCTAAGGACAAATCCAGAAATATCATTAAAAATCAATTTTAAGCGAGTAGATTTTTTTGAAATTTTTATGAGGAATTTCTGAAAAAAAAAGCTTCGCTGAAAAGTGTACTTTTCCAGTGCATTTTTCTAAGTGCATAACTTTTTGAAGTTATCTTCGATTTTAAAGTGGCATAGTGACCTATGTATAACTTTCCCAATTAAGTCCGATCTCGGACTTACCTTTAAACGCTGTCAATAAAATTTCCTAATGACCTGCGCTTAAATATTTTAATTCTGTAAAGGTCGATTTTTTGGTGACCCATTTGGGTTCCAGGTGACCCAGCTCACCTGCTGCAGGATAATGTGGGCCAGTGGCATCAGCGAGGCGCTGAACAGCAGGTGTTTCACGATCAGGCCACAGCAGCGGCCACAGCAGAAGGTGCGCATCATCTGCTTCAGGCTGACCCGCTCCTCCGAGATGTCGAAGACCGCATGGCAGACCTCGCAGCGATTATCCCGCCTGTGCATAATCCAGCGCTTTAGGCACTTCAGGTGAATAAAGCCCTGCAATGGTGACCTAGATTCCATAAGTCCACAATATAAACCCAGAGAAACCTCTGGTTAAAGAGGGCCCCCTTTCGAAATTTGTTTTGTATTCGGTAAAGCAAATTCTGTCAATTGGGGTTAGTGAATGTTTTTGTGAATCTCGAAAAGGGCTCCTCAACACCGGAATTCCCTTACTGAAAGGACGCTTACCACGCTGCCCTTGCAATTGCACGGACATTTGATGACCTCCATGTCCCGCCGGTTCCATCGGCAGATGCGGCACGAGTTGCCATTCTCGTCGGCCGAATGGACGGTCTCCTGCGAAGGAAGACGCGTTATCGCCGGCAACATCCTTTGACGCGCCGATGAGATCTCTAGAGCGGCCATTGAGGCGGTGGGCGTGTCACTGGCCGCCTCTGGAGTTGCAGGACTCTCAGCAGAAGAAGCTGGTAGACCAACTTCCGTTGAATTAATGGGATCCGCTGGTGCCGCCGCCAGAGGCGGCTGAACGGCGAGGGGCGTGGCACCGCCGTTGGCCACCACCAAGCCATTGATCAGGCGAAGGGCGGACGCCTCGGAAAGAACGTGCTGATGATGCGACATGTTGCCTCACAGCAAATTCACAGATGTACTGCAACGTGGATGCCACGGATCTTGAATTGCTTTCAAACTGCTTGGCGGGTTATATGCGTCGTGTGATGTTGTGTGTGTAACGAACCAAATTTTGATAAACGAATTTCTACACCGAATTTTCCTGCGACATCTTAGACAAAACTTGAACGCTTGACATTGACCAGGTTTCTGAGCACACGTGATTACCTGTGAGTTGCCCAAAAACGAAAGGCACACTCCCTGGAAATTATTTGCTTTGACTCCTTTGAGATAATTAAGACGCCCAGTAAAAAGACATATTGAGTTATTTGGGTTTCATTTGCTGTTTTTTTGATTTCTTTGCGGCCTTTTCAATGCCATCGGTTAGTAAATTTGTCGTTCTCGTTACACGTACGTACATAGAATATATGTTTATTATTATTACAGTTATTCATCAATGTAAGCGTCGGCATCAAGACGTAATCATATTTAGTTTTATTTGAATCATTGTCGATGACCGCCGGCAGGGTTAGTAACTGCACTGCTTTGTTCTCATCGCAATTATAATTATGACAAAAAAATATAAATCAACAATTATTGCATAGTTTCTGCTTCAAGTTCGATAACAAATAATAATGCGTAATCGTAATAATAGTAAAAAAAGGGGGAAAAACAAACACAAAAAACGTACAAAGAGTCGGCTGTTCACGTTCGACGAGCCATTTGCGCTTCAGTTGAAGAATATATATACTTATGCCGATTATACAGTTAGATATTCGCAGGATGAATCTTGAGGAATCTTAGTGGGCGACAGGATCAGGGTGGATATATACGGGGTATGTGTCTTAACACAAAATGCCAAAAGGGTATGTCTGTGGTGGTGTGTGCTTAAAATTTAATGAGTTGCTGCTGCTGCTCCTGTTGAATTGACTCGGATTTGGATCTGGATTTGGACTATTCTGCTGCCTGCTGATGGGTTGATGGGCAGTCACTGGCAGTTGCGGAATCGGCGATATATGCTCTGCACGTAGACGAACACGCACTTCCAATCGGGGCGACTCATCTCCACCATATCCTCCACATCCAGCAGCGGTGCAATGCCAGCCTTCTCACTGTAAAAAGGGAATTAATTAATAATATTATTCGATATTGTGGCTTATACCTTAATACGCATCCTAATACTCACTTATGTAATTTCTTTTTTCCCCTTTTTTTCCCCTTTTTTTCCTTTTTTTTTTTAAATTTTTTTTTTTTTTTCCTTTTTTTTTTTTTTTCTCTTTTTTACTAAATAATTAATACTTACTCAGCAACGCTGAAGGCCAGCTCGAAATTGTGTCGTCGCGTCTCCTTTGTTAGTTGGGTGTAGTCAAATGCATCTGGCAAGAAATGGTGTATCAGCGCACAAAAGGCCAAGCCGTCTGACCAGCTCGAGCTAAAGTTGCTTATTTGGACGTTCTGCGAAACAGAACACACACATATAGTTTACATTCAGTGATCAGTGGTGATCGATCGATAGTGCTCTTTTTGAGGGATGGCTGCTGATTTTTTTGATGGCCCTTCGAGCAAAAGCAAAAGCATTTAGTTTGAGATTCCAGCCTCCGTTACTAACTAAGACTAACTAAATTAGCTAGTAGGTGGTATCATCTAAAGGTCAACTAAAGTCGAAGCAATAACAAAAACAGCGGCAGAAACTCTTGCGGCTAAGCGAAATTGCCATTCGAATTTCGAAACGATAAGCGGTGATTAATATTCGGCAGCAAAAGCGGTATAACGGTAAAACGAAAATGGCTAACATCTTTATAGAACCTGAATTTCTCATTCGTGCATTGTGTTCGTGTGCGGGTGTGTGTGTGTGTGTGTGTGTGTATATATCTGGGTGTGTGTTTGTTTGCGTGTATGAGTATTGGAGAAAGTTTTCAAAGCTCAGCAAAAGTTAGGCGCTGTTAGATGTTTTTGCTTTTGTTTATAATGTTTGTTGTTCTGATTGTTAGATTTCTGGTTAAATTTGGCAAAACTAAAAAATAACATCGGAGCGAACGGCAAGGCTAAAGAAACGGTCACAAAATTCTTGGCTTTTCCGGCAATTGAGTTCAAAACTAGACTTGTGCTTTTATTGGCTTTTGATAAATGCAAAAGTTCATACCCAATATGTAGTATTTATTAATTTAGAACTCAAATGCAATATATAACTAACAAACAATCGCAAGGACAACAAAATATGGGCTGTGGCTTCGGCATTTCGTAATTATTTTAGAGGGCTTGCTTAGTTTTTTGGTTTTTTGATTTTTTGATTTTTTGGTTTAGGTTTTGGATACCTCATATTCCTGCGTTTTATGCTGACACCACTGCAGAAGTTGATCCTTGACAGTGGCGGCGCGCGCATTTAATGCCGGATCGGTAAATTTGAACAACGGTTGTGCCGAACCGCCGGGGGTCGTGGGTGTGCTTGTTGTTGTTGGAGATGATCTGAACAAATGAGTCAAGGTTGGAGGGTTGCAGACGTTTTAGCGAAACTCACACAAATTCGGTTCTTCTTCATCTTCATGTTGTTCTTAATTTCAGAATTTTCTGTTTTTTACTGCTGTGTGTTCTTTGTTTGATTTTTTAGTTCGATTGTGTTAAGTGTTTTTGTTGTGTGTACAATGTGTGTGTATATATTATCTTTTTGTGTTAGCAAGAAACAACAACAACAATTATTTTAATACCAAAAAAAAAATAAAACTTAGAAACGAAACAACTATCGCGATCTTTTCGATCTTTCTGTCAACGGACTTTCAATATGGTTTGGTTGTGAATTTTGTTGGAATTTTTCGTTTGCCGAAGGAAAACATTAACGGGGTAGAGATATAGTCGGGAGAAAAGAATAATGAGGAAAAATCGAGTCCAGTTCTGAGGTGCTAACTAGGAAAAACCGAGGGAGACAGGTGGGAGGTCTACGTACATAAAGCGAAATCACTTTTCCCTCACTACATTATCTTCAAGATTTTCAATTTTCTTCTCACTTTCTTAAAAAAATGTTTTGTTTTTTTTGGAATGGATAGTCCAACACACTTTCATAGAGAACCAACACCAGGGATTGTATATGTACATATGTGTGTGTGTGTGTATTTAAAGGGGTGAGGAATGTGCTTGCATTTCATCAATCTGTTGTGTAAATGTGCCATGTTCTCCGATAACCAATTGATTGATTTGAGTGTAATGGAGTCTTGGAGAAGCAAAGTGGGCCCTTAAAAGTAGGCAATTATTTCACAAAGACAATCGTTTTCAAGTGCTTTGCATTTGCTTGCTTCTCCATTGGCCTTCTAATTGAATGGATGACCTGCAAAAATGTTGGCTTGTGTGTACAGTATGCCCTCGCTACCATATATGTGTGTGTTTGTGTATGCTCAACGGTATATGTATGTATGTATATATACATGAAAAATTCTGAATACTTGGACAGGGGGACTTGATGGACTTACTTTTGCGCCTGCTGGGCGGCTGCCTGCTTATCCAGCTGCTTGAACTTGGCCAAGGGCGAGATGTTTTTAGATGCAGCACTTCCGCTGACAGTGCGTGTGGTAACTACGGAAAGTATACTGATTAATACGCATACTATCTTTTCGATCCATTCCATGGACTTACCCTTTGTTGTTGTTGTGGTCACAGTGGCACCGCCATCCTTCGACTTGGTTTCCGTTCGCTGTTCGCTGGTCGAGGAACTCTTTTGCTGGGCTGCTGTGTGAATAGAGTTTTTTAGGGATGCGGTTTTTTTTTTTTTTTTTTTTTTTTTTTTTTTGCAGCAGGTGGAAGAAAAAAGAGAAGCAAACAAATTACATTGATTAGTTTTGGGGCATGCACAAAAATTAAATACACAAAAAATATCAATCAGGTAATCAACGATTCGTTTGGGTTATTCAAAATACATGTGTTTTGTATCTGGGCAGGCAACAAATTTACACACTACGCAACGTGTCAAAGAATAGCACAAATTATTTATTTGCTTACATAATATAATATAATATCAGCTACAAAAACTCAAAAAACAAATTGGCATTATTCAAGCTGCCACACACGCATGGATTTTTTTGATCGCAGTGTGTGCGGTTTGGCATTCCCCACAAAAAAGGAAACGCACTTCGGAAATCACACAAAGAACCAATCAGAAACCGTCGCTAATGGTGTGGACATGACTGTGGCGGTGGTGGTGGTGTTGGCTCTATTAATGAGTTTCGTACTTTTGCACACAAATAAAGAAACACTCGATGTTTCGAACTTTAACCGAGTTATTTAAAAAAAAAATCACTCATTTAGGGGTATGAGTTAAGATATAAACATTTAGGTAATAAAAACACAAATATGTTTAAATAAACACTCAAATTACAAAAAATGCAACTTTAAAAAACTCGTTTTAAGTTCAGTTTTTAAGTAGATTATTCCATCTGTGTAAAAATGAATGTGGAAAGTCATGCATAAGTCTATTAACAGTTATAGCTAAAAATCATTGAACAGCATGCTTTAAATCGTGGGACAGGGAACAGGAGCAGATCAGCAGATCGACAAAAATATATATTGACATACTTGAACACCAAAAACTGATCGTTAATCAAACGAAACAAACTGTTTCCTAATCTCATCTGCGGTGGGGTGTTAAGAAAAAAAAAAAAGAAGTAAATATTCATATATGTACAAGGGACGACAGAGAGAGAAACAGTTGATTAAAAAAGGAGGGACAACATGGGGGTTTCTGTTTGCTGCTTCCGTTTTCTTTTATACGTAATTTTAGTTGTATGCGTTTTTGAAACCTTGCTGGGCCAACCAACCAACCAATCAATCAGTCAATCAGTCAATCAATCAACCAACGAACGAACGAACGAGCAAAAGAGAAAAACGTAACAAAACGTAACGTAACGTAACGCAACGTAAGGGGACTAAAAAAGGGATAAGCGCTAATAATTGACGCAGTTTTACATTTCCACATTTGGCTGAGAAATAACTTTCAGGCAATACAAATATGTACAAGAAAAACACACACACACACACAGGTAACACATACAGCTGCCTCTTAAATAATAGTATTAACACAACTATGAACAAAGTCAAAAGGGGTTTAGGAAAATTCTTTTTGAATTTATTGAATTTATTTTCGAAAGAAAGTAATCCCCTTTTAAGTTCATCATGTTTAGTTATTATTAATACCATTGTTTTGATTTCAACTGTATGTTTTCTTAAAATGTGTGTGGTTTTTATGCTGTTAGGCTGCTGCTGGGCGGTATAGCAATATTTTATATGTATATTTATTTTAATTTTTTGGTAGTACAAGGCAGGGCAGGGGCGTTGGCAAAATCGGGGAAAAAAGAGGGTGGGCGGATGGATGGCATTCTGTACATCTGATATTTTCATATTCAACTCACAAATCTCGGAATATTGATCAAGTTGTTGCTTTTGTTGCTATTGTTGTTGTTGTTGCTTGGGGCTTCAGTGGAACGCAGTGCAGCAAACAATTATTTTTTTTTTGCGTGATTGTTTTGTGTTTAAGAAATGTGAAGAAAAAAAAAATAGAAACCGACTGTGGCCCCTCAATTTTTCGACTGACTCTGCGTGTCTGCGTGCCTCTTTATCGTTATCTGCGTTTTCTAACTGCTCTACAAACTCTTTACAAATCGAACATGGAGAGTGGGCGGTTGGGTGGTGGATGGTGGGTGGTGGGTGTTAACTAAAACAAAGCTAATCCTAGGATCAACAGTAGCGCTTGAGTAAATCAGTAAACATTAATCAGTACAGTTGCCGTTACAAGTTACATTTATCATTCCGTTTCGATGTCGATTTCGTATATCGTATATCTTTTTTTCTATTTTAAAAAATTTTTTATCATGTTTTTTTTATCATGTTCTCATCCAGTTTCGAACTGGAATGCCTCAATGCGGTTGTTCTTTTATTCTTGGGTGGGCTAAATTGTTGGCTTGTTGGCTTGAGTGGTTGAGTGGTTGGCTGGACTGTTTGTTTGTTAATTATTTATTTATATATTATATGTATATGCATTTGGTTTAGTGGTAAATGTTAGGCACCCATCATTAGCTGCTCGAACGCATCCTCCACATTGCTCTCGTCGAGCAGATTGAGATTGGCGATATGTGGCATGGTGGCACTGCGACTCAGTCCGCCGCCCATCATGGGTGCACCACCACCACCCACGTTACGTGGCATTCCCAAGCCGGCGGTGGAAACGTTGCCATTCGATGTGCTGGTCAGCGAGCTGAGCGACTTTCGAGCGGCCGCCGAGAGCTTTTCGCTCGTCTTGGTCCGATTAATGGCCGACTTTCGACTGGAGGTCGTCGTCATCGTGGTCGCGGTGCGCAGCTCCTCCACTTGACCGCCAGTCGGTGACTTCTGACCGGAGAAATAGGCCGCCACAGTGCGCTGTTTTTCGCTAACCTGCGCCTTGTCAATGCCCGCCTCGTAGAGCTTCGGCACCGCCAGGGAGTGTCCGGATTTGGTGCGCCTCAGTTCGCCGGGCTGGTTGGCTCCCGGCTGGTTGTACTTGGCCGGACTGGGACCCGCCGCCTGCTGCAGCTGGCAGATCTGGTTCCACGAGTCGCACTTGCTCAGACGATTCACCCGAGATCCCGACTGAGACTGAGACTGAGACTGGTGGGAATCCTCCTCGTGGTTTCTCCTACCCATCGAGGTGAAGGCGCTCACATTGTTGAACACAATGTTGTGGGGTATCTCGTCCTCGGGCGGAACCTGTGGCTGTGGCGTCGCAGGGGTTTCCACAATGCTCGGCTTGATTTGCTGGTGTTGCTGGTGGTGCTGATGCACCACTGTGCTGCTGCTGATTGCGGTGGTGGTGGTGCTACTGCTGCTGCTGGTGGTCTGCTTATTCAGCTGCGGACTCTGGTACGAATTGGGCATGTAGTGATGGCGCTGTGGCGGCCCGAACTTCTTCAGCAGCGGCGCATTCTCCTTGGGCAGCGACGATTTCACAATGTCCGGCGTATCGGGCGGTGCCGAGGACTTGTACTCCTGCTCGAAGTAGCTGCTCCTCTGCGAGCTCTCCAGCACGTTGCCCAAACTCTTGCGACGCAGCTCGTTGATGTGCTGCTCCTTCAGCTGCTTCTGAACTGTGGTGTTGCCGTTGGTATTGCTGGTGATGACGTTGGAGTTGAGCGTTTGCTGCGACATCACGCGGTTCTGCAGGGGACGGCTGTCGTAGCCGGTGTCCCCTTGGATGGTGTGACTTCGCGAACTCAATCTGGGAGCATGTCTGGACGTTGGGTTGTTGGCTATACTCTGGGGTATCTGTTGTGGCAATTGTTGGTGTATCTGTTGTGGTATTTGTTGGGGTATCTGTTGTGGTATTTGTTGGGGTATCTGTTGTGGCAACTGTGGGGGTATCTGTTGTGGCAGCTTCTGCGGAGGCAACTCTTGTGGGGGTAGTTGCTTGGGCAACTGCTGAGGGATCTGCTGGGGCAACTGCTGAGGGATCTGCTGCGGAAACTGCTTGGGCAACTGAGGTGGCACCTGTTGAGGCAACTGCTTGGGCAACTGCTGGGAGATCTGTGGCGGGATCGGCGGGGGTATCTGTTGGGGCAACTGCTTAGGCAGCTGCTGAGGGATCGGCACCTGTTGCTGCACCTGCTGCTGCGGCTTCTTGTGATTAACCTGCTGCTGAGGCTGACTCATCTGCGGCTTGGTGCTGCGGTCCACCGGTGGCCCCATGGGGCTGGGAACTGTATTGACCGTATTGTGGACGGGATTCGCTGTCCAACTGGTGCTGCCCAAGGAGAGCGAGGAGCTGGCGTTCGAGTGCTCCGAGGTGCGACGCAACCGCTGGCTCACCGACGTGGCCATCGACTCCTGTTCCGGCTCATCGCCGGAATCGTCGACGGGATAGGTGACCACATAGGAGGTCTGCGTCTCTCCCAAATACGAGCTGGCATCCTGACTGGATCTCGGTGGTGTGTATGTGGGATTTGCCTGGTAGTTGATCTGCGGCATGCTCACTGCAGGTGGGGCGGACATTGGCGAGTTGCTGAACTGCGGCTGTCGCTTGGCCTCAAAGGTGCTCAGTTGCGGGAAGAGCGGCTCCACCAGTGGCGCCTGGTACTGACGACCGTCGGGCGAGAGGCAGCCGGACTTCGGGGAGCTGGGCGCTGTCATGGGTTGCCTCCTCTGGTTACCAGCATTGCCAGCTAGGCCACCACCAGGTTGGCCACCAGGACCACCGCCCAGCTGCTTCATGGTGTAGAGCAGGGACTTGGCTGCCCGGGAGTTCTTGCCGTACACCTCGTCATCGCTCATGTGCGCGTTCCTTCTGTCCGCCACTCGCACAGCCGTTTGGCCACGTGGCTTCCGCATCACCTTCGTCTCGGCCCGGTACTCCATCATATTGTTGTCCGAATCCAGATCGAGATCATCGTCCGTGTTGTCCGTCATCAGAGTGGGGTTCGGCATGGTCATGAAGCTCGTGGGACTGTTGGGCGGACTGTCCGCGTCCACGTCCACTGGACTGCTGATGTAATCGAATCGCCTGCTTCCAGGCGGCGGCAGGTAAGTGGGATTCGAGCTGGTGAGCACAAGAGGCGCTCCCAGGGGATTGGTCAGGGCCTCGGCCTGCTCCACGGCACTCGTGAGGCACGGTTGACTTCTGTAGTTGTGAGCATTGCCAGCCTGCTGCCGCCTCACTGGCGGAAAGTCCGCGTATGTAAAGGATATATTTGTGGGTGGCGGTGGTGCTTGATACACGGGTCTCATTGGCGGTGCGGCTGCTCCCGGATCCATGGCATTCGGCAGGGATGGTCGCTTCTTGAACTCACTCAAGGCCGGCGCCTTCGAACGCAGTGAATTGTGACGCTGCAGATAGCCGCTGTTGCCATTGGAATATGACGGCTGTTGCTGCTGTTCCAAGTTGTCCCTCAGAGACCTCTCCTCGAAGTGGTGCGCCTTGCGTCGGAAATCGCTGTTGTCCACCTTGGGCTTAGCCACCCAGGGCAATCCGATGGGCGAGGTGGCCGCCGACGATGGCGACGGGGTATTGCTGTACGAATTGGCCGTTCTGGCCTGCAGATGTTGCTGCGATTGCGGCGGAAGGTTCGGCTGTTGTGTCGGCGGCTTCCAAATGGCCGGATTCGGTTGGGTTTTCTGCGCAATGGGCTTGTAAATGCCCGGCTGCGGTTGCGTTTCATTTTCAATCGGGCGAAAGACGGATTGTGGCGCGTGCTTGAAGTTGTTGACCTGTGCGGCCTGTTCCCGCTGTTGCTGAAGCCGCAGCTCCATTTCCTGACGTCTCTGTCGCTCGAGTTGCTCCTGCTGCTGGCGTTGCCTGTCCAACTGCTGCTGTCTTTCGGCCTGCTGTCGCTGCAATTGCTGTTCGTAGTACTCTCGCTCCAGGCGAGTGCGTTCCTCCCGCTCGTATCGCGCCTCCTGTTCGATTCGCAGTTGTCTTTCCAGTTCCTGGCGACGTTGCCGCTCGATTTGCACAGCGGCTGCGGCTTGTTGTTGCTGCTGCAGTTGCAACTGATCGCGCTGCAGTTGTTCGCGCTGCAGTTGCTCTCGCTGGAGTTGCTCTCGCTGAAGATGCTCTCGCTGGAGTTGTTCTCGCTGCAGTTGTTCCCGCTGAAGTTGCTCTCGCTGCAGTTTTTCTCGCTGCAACTGCTCTCGCTGGAGTTGCTCCCGTTGGAGTTGCTCTCGCTGAAACTGTTCTCGCTTCGACAGCTCTCGCTGGCCTTGCTCTCGCTGGTATTGCTCTCTCTGCAGCTGCTCTCGCTGCAGCTGCTTGGCGTCCCTCTGAGCCAATTCCCTTTGCTCCCTCTGCCTCTGCTCGCGTTGATACTGCTCTCGCTGCATCTGCTCCCGTTGCATCTGCTCGCGTTGCAGCTGCTGGTGGTGCAGCTGCTCCTGCTTGGCCCAACCGGGCACGTGTCCCGGCACCGGTGGTGGCTTGCCCTTGGTCACCGTGGCCGCCGCTCCCGTTTCGAAGGTGTGCTTGATGTTGCCGAACTTGTGGGTCCAGTTCGACACACTCCGGCCACCGCCACCGCCCCAGCCCAACCCGGTCTGATGGCTCTGCTTGTTGATGAAGGCCAGGAACTTGTGATCGTTCTCCGTCTTCGGCTCGAACGGCGGCACCGCATTGTGGACGCGTCGCTTAACGCTCACCTGCACCGCTCGCTTCAGGCCCAAGTGCGGACCATGGTCGTCCTCCAGGTCGGAGTCCGAGTCACAGTCGGCCATGTACTTGGCCTTGGCCTTGGGTATGTCGATGGTGTTGGCTCGCTTCATCAGGTGCTTCTTGCCGCCACCAAATCGGCTGGAGTTCGAACTGGAGTTCGAGTTGGACTGCGAGTTGCTTGCCAAGTTGCCGTTGCCTTCGGGGCTGGAGTTCTGTGAACTCTGATTGGCCTCATAGCTGGCAAAGCTCACGGCATAATCGCCGGACAACGGTCGCCGGTTGTTGGGGTTGTTGGGCCTCAGCTGAGATGTGTTTTGGGTGGGACTCACCGGCGTCGCAGTTGCAGGTGGCAGGTTGGGAGATTGCTGCTGCTGCTGTGGGGGCTGTGGCACAAACTGATTTGGCCGGTAGAGTTGCACCGGCACTGCACTCGAACTGGGCGTCTTGGTGAGCGCCAAGTCCTTGCCCTCCAGTATCAGCAGGTCCTCCATGTAGCGTCGAGCATCCGCCAGTTCCTCGCGGGAAACGCCAACGGTGTGACGACTGTTTCGCTGGCGACGCTTTGCGAATCGCGACTGCCGACTGTCCGTTTCCGGATCTTTTTGATCCTCGTCATCTTTTTGATCCTCGGCAGCCGTTCGATCGTCCGCCAGCTTCTCGGGCGCACTGAGTCCACTCTGGAGGCGGGCCACCAGGCCGAGCAGAGCCTGCCGTTGACCCCCGTCGACGGCCAGCTCCTTGCCTTGCTTCAGGCTGCTCTCCAGGCGGCTAAGGGCATCGGTCACTTCCTCCACGAGGCTGCGGTTCGCTTCGCTGGCGTCGCTGCCGCTCCTCTGTTGCAGGGTATCCCGCAATCCGGCGGCTAGCAGACGCAGGTCCTCGCCGCTTTCGGTGCCGGAGTCCTCCTTCGAGGGCACACTCAAACGGCTTCCCACTCCGGATCCCGAAACGGGTGCGGACCCGGATCCAGATCCAGATCCAGTTTGAGATGCTGGTGCAGTGACTGGCACCATTTCCGGCTTGGCCTTATCCCTGACCCTAACCACTGTGCTTGCTACCTGGCTACTGCTAAGACTACTGGGCTTCCTACTACCTAAGCTACTGCTGCCGCTGCTGCTGCCTGGTCCTGCTGCTCCTGCTCCTGCTCCTGCTGCTGGGGCTCCTGTTTTCGAGGCTGTTGGCAGGGACTCACCCTGCACCTGAACAACACCACCGTCTGTGGTCGAGGAGCTGTTGGAGCTGCTGGCCAGCTCAACTTTGGCCAACTTTTTGCTAACACTTTCGGTGACTTGGCTGAGCTTCTCCACCTTTTGCACAGCCGTCTGCTTGGTCACCTCCTGCTTGGCGGCGACCTCCTTTTTGGTCACTTCCTTTTTGGCAACCTCCTTTTTGGGCCCCTCCTTTTTCGGAGGTGGCACTTTCTGTTCCTCCTCCTCCTCCTCGTCGCTGTAGTCGGTCACCTCCTCGATGATCTCCTCATACTCGCTGGCGCTGCTCTCCTCCTCCTCCTTCTCCTGCTTTACGTTTTTTTGGTCTGCGCGTAGCCGCAGCAAGGAAGTCAACGGAGAAATAAGAGATAGATTAAGAGATAGAGAAGGTGCTGGGAAGAATAGGGACTCGCAACGAGAACGCAATCAAGCAATACAAGAACTCGGGTTGGGATCTGCAAATGTGGAACGGACTTTGCTCAATTGACCAAATCCCTTTGGTAAGAAGTTGTGCTTAACTTAATTGCAAAAAAAAATACATAAAAGGAAACTCAAGTATTTGGAAGTACCAAAAAAATCGAAAGACTTAAGGCAAGCAGTTACAGGTCAAAAGTCTTCTCTGAACTATTGTTGATTCAGTCTCTCAGACTTCTGGGATACTCCATATATATTATATCGTTCGGATTCGCACATCTGAGCATCGATAAGGTGGAACAAATTAACGATAGCAGACTTGGTGAATCGATGACTTGTTTTTGACGTACTATGGATCGATTCCACTTATTTGTGGATCTTCGACGTGAGACTTTTACTGAGCGACGACAACATTCAACGATCGATAGATATAACAAAGTAGCGATAGTAACGATAGTAACGATGACACTATAACGATAACGATAACGATAACGATGTGTGGAATGCCACGAGGAAATGTTCATCGACTGGGAGGAACAATGGACATGACCAACATCAAAACGCTGGGTGGTGCAATACCTGTAGACTAATCGAGTTATCGAGGAATATCGGATAAACGGTTTAAGTTTTGGTCCTACTGACTTCACTGTTTCCTGCCTAGCTAGTTGCTGTGCGCATTATCTACAAGATACAGATACAGAACACAATGTTGATACGCGGTTTGCCTCGATATCACTGCGCTTCCATCTTCGGCGATCTTCGGCGTCTCGCTGCTGACGAGGTGATGAACTTATCCGCTGGCCTTGTGGCGTGTTTCTTGCATGGGGGACATTACGGAGATATGGTAAATGGCACTCACCTTCGCGTTCCGCCATAAGTTCGCGTAGACGTGCACGGATCTTGCGACGCTCCTCGTAGGTGGACGCCTGTTCCAGCTGCAAGCGTTCGAGGATGCATGGTGTGATTGATCGATCGATTGTGATTGTGGCACGCCTGAGTTTCAGCATCTAGTTTGTGCAGTATGTACCCACCAGTTGCTTGAGGGTTTGCTCGTCCCAAATCTCCTCGATGTCACAAGTTGTGCGTGTAACTGGTGCTGAGGAGCTGCTGACCTTGTTGGAGGTGCTACTGTTGCCCGATTTGCTGTAGGTGTTGGTTATCCGCGTGGTCTTCACCTAAAAAAAAACAAGAGTAGAACATTTTGCGGAGATCAGCAAGCGTTCAATTCTTTTCTTTTTCTATTCTTTCTTTTTTGTTTATCAACCGGAAAATTTCGTTTCATTTTTTGTGTGTGGGTGAGAAACAAACGCCAGCTGTTTGGGCCCTGGCTAAATAAAGCACGATGAGCACATTCGCCGGCCACAAAATCCACGCCAGCCAGCCAGCCAGCGCAATTATTCACTTGCCAAGAGTTGCCAACAAAATTTGGTGGCATCTACTGCTCGGTCGATCGATGGCCGTGATAAGGCAAAAACCAAAAATCAATTTGTCAGTACAATTTGTCCTCAGCCGTGATTTCGAATGCATTTGTCTGCTGCATTTTCCGCCTGCAGTCAGTCAATGTCGTTGCATACCTGTCGTATGCGTAATATGCTCAATGGCAATAAATAAAGTGCGCATACGACACGTTGGCCAAAGGTAAAGCATTAACAAAGGCGAACTTGGCATTGTTATTGCTTTATTGTTCTCAAAGAATAACCACATGACAATTCATTTTTTGCACATTTATTTGCATTTGATCACAAAATGTAAAAATCAGGAAAAGCATTTAAGTTCAAGCCGAAAATCAAAATTAAAAAAATTCCCGCAATTAGTTAGCTTTTGGTTCCTTGACCCTTAAAAGCATTCAGAACCTCTTATATGTTTTAAACCCGTTTCCCTCAAGAGTTTATTGATATTGATATTATCAGAGGAGACATGGAATGAATTCATGGCAATTGCCCCAAAAGAAAAATCAAGCAATAAAATTTCTCTTTGTGCCGGCAGACAGCACAATAGATAAATCAGCTAAAAGCGTTTATGGACCTCTGAATTGATGCCAAAATATTGATGCACACACATATAATAAATGTCTATAGATATAGGAGAGTGCAATTAAGTATACGCCGCGTTGGCCTGCAATTTTGTGATGACGAGGCAAAGATGATGAAAACAACACAAATGGCACGAAAAAAGGAACGCGCTCTTATTCTCTCGATTTCTAACCGAATGAAAAATATAGTTGTTTATATCAATTTGACCAAATTTGGTCAGCGGCAAGGGAAATTTTCTTTTGAAAAACTGACTTCCAACATGTTCGAAAAGCGCCCCCGCTCTTCCTCTTGCAACACGCGTTGCTATTTTTAATTATAAATTATTTAAGCACACACACACAAACACATCGAACGAACGATTCGACCATATTTCAGGAAAAGTTCCCAATATTTTCTTCTCTCGTTCGCTCTTTCGTTCTTGTGGGCCAAACTTTATATAATATTTGTGTTGTCTTATAAACAAAATGTATCGAAACAACAACAAGCCAACCAAAATTAATTGCCAAACATTTTTACAAGTCCCGCTTCCCCTCTTTTCCAAATGTTTTTGTTGTCAAAATGTGGGCCACAAAATATGTACAATCATTTTCATCTAATTTGACTAAGTTTAATTTGAATTTTATTCTTTCGCTTTGGTTTATTTTTAATAATTTGTTTTGGTTTTTTTTTTTTTTTTTTTGTATTGTTTTTATCTCTTTGGTGGGGACTGAAAAGGCTTGCCAACTATTTGGCGCAATTCCGCCAAAGCGTAACAAATGGAGGGGCAGCAAACCAAGCATGGAAATAAAAATGGAAATTGCAAAAAGAAAACAATTAAAACCATTCGGAGTGCGGGGCAAATGGAGAGTGCAGCTGACCAAAGCGTTCATTGCCAGTTAGCTGTTAGCTGTTAGCTGATTTTGCTGTTGCACTTGGCCACTGACTGCTGCTGCCGGTCATTTCTTTTTTTTTTTTTTTTGTTTCGGCTTTGACACTGCCTGAAATGATGGAAGGGGGCAGAGACAGCCAGTTGATTGATGGCCACCAATTTGTACCGGCACCCAGACATTGTCGAAAAATGGAACACCTAAATATAGACGTTGGGACTTGTTTAAACTGTTTCTGAACCGACATTAAATATACTATTCTGTAAGGCTACAAAATTGGTAACCTGAAATCTGAATAAGTCATGATAGAATCTCCTAAAAAGAATTCTGTAGTTTAAAGTGGTTTTTAGAACTCTTTGAGTGCACTTCCTCCTCCTCTTGAAAAACTAACAATCACATACGAAACCAAAATTGTAGCCAATTTTCCATGCAAAAGAATAATGATTTTGCTTTTGCGTTTCCCGAATTGACTTTCTTTCGTTTTCAATTTTTTTTTTGTTGTGTTGTTGTTCCTGTTGTGTTGTTGTTTGTATTTTTAGCTCGGGCAAGATGAGAAATTATTTGACATGCAAAATGCGAGGCAAAGACAAAGGCGAAGCAGCCAACACGCACACACACCGATTACGAAACGGCAAAAAGCAGGAAGAAGCAGCCAACAAAAAAAAAAAAAAAACAGAAAATGATTGGGACGATGGGAGTCGCAGTTAAGGCTGTTTGACAAAGCACAATATGCAACATACACGTCACATATATGCAGCATGCATATTGGAACTATAAAAAATATATAGTATATGGGGATTTTTCTGAGTGAAATAAACATGCTATTCGACATTTGTGTTGGCTTAGCCACACCGTTTCAGCTGTTCGGTTGCCTATTTGGTTGTCAGGGCTTAAGTTATTATCCCCGTTTGTTCTCAAAACCTCGAGACATTTACGAACAATATTTTTTGTTATCCAAAGTCAGCAATAAAGCATTTTCTTTGTGTTCTCTTACGTAAACATTATGCTATTTCGGACAAAAAAAAACCTCAACCAATTGTGAATCAAAGTTGCTTTTTACTCGAAGTACATGTACCAAATAATATTTTTCCCTCATGTTTATTTTCTTGGAGCAAAGTTACTTCTCAAGTCAGTGTGATGCGGGCATAATGGAAACCGGCTTCCCAGCTTCCCAACTTCCCAACTCTGAGCACTTGCAGCAGCAGCAGCAGCAGGCGATGCTTAATCACCGAACGCAGAGTTAGTGAGCTGAAAAGGGGAGTTTGGGGACTTGGGAGGCTGAAGCGGCGTTTGAGGATTTGCCGCTCTGCATGTTACGCTCAACTAAGTACAGGGGCAGCAACGCAGCACACCTGAAAATGGCAAACAGAAACAGCATTTCTCTACGTTCCAGTTCGATCGGTTGGGATCGGGGAGCCGTGGAGTTAGAGAGCCACTATATACTATATATGAAAACCGAAGTTTAGTAGTCAAAGAATAACACAAAGCTACAATAAAATCCATGCTAAAACTTATTCCCCATAATGTAATTATTATCTGAATATATGGATCTGATAAATGTACTAATTCCTTTATAGTTCCTAAAATCTAAAACTGCACTCCCAACAGGTTTATTTTTATTCTATATGTTCTTTGAAGTTAAATATAGTTCTATTAAAATAGGAC